TAGCTACTGTTTGCAGTTCAGACTGTGGTCTTGTGATATAAAATAAGAACACCTCTATTTGTCTCACAATGGAGAAATTCCCAATTTACAGCAGCAAAAATTATGAAAGGGACAAGATATGCCCTGCAGTGACACATACATTTGAACATTTTCACAGTCGAAATTGTAACTGTACAGCTTGAAATGTATTTCACAGCGTGATTCATGAATTGGTGGTTCGCTTGCGATCCAGGGTGGTATCAAGCTTTCAAAAGAATGTTAGATGGTTAATCTTATAAGAGGAACTGATGCAATGGCATATTTATTCAACTCTGAACACCATATATATTCCAAATAAAGCGGAATCTTGATTTTAATGGATCTGTACGTAATAGTACAATCCAGTAGTAGTTCTATTGTATTGTAGTATGTACTGTATGTACACCACATTTGAATATCTATATTTTTTTCAGTTAATGCCCAAAAGTCAGAAATGAGCAGGTTATGACATTCTTATGTAGCTTTTGAAGGTTGTTGCAAAAATCACGATTCCATCATGAGTCTTTTGAAATGCTTATCTAAACCACGCTACCAGGAGGCAGTTTCCCCGGACTCACAGGACTGAAGGTCCTCTGTCAGTAGTTGTGCCCTGTTGTGGTCTTCCCAGAAGGACCCCAGCAGCAACCAAGACATTTGCAGAAACAAAGCGAGTTCATTTCAGCATGTCAATTGAGCGCCGATACAGTGGTGCCCTGTGTGTTTGGTTGCATTCATGCACTTTCGCCCGAGCCACGTGTGTTAGTGTATTGGAACTCGGGGACAAAAGGAGCTTTGTGCATGCGATGTTGGAGGAAGAGTGCGTGACAGTCAACGGGGAAATCCATTCTCTGGAGAGTTGTCTTATGTGCAATCGTACTTTCTTTGTCATATGATGAGCTGCAGGGTGAGAGTAATATGGTGAGTTTTGCTATACAGTGAAACTCCTCTACAACGAAATCATGTTTGCAGCAAGACATTTTTCACAACAGGGGGTTTTTCACTGGAGCAAATTTGATCTCAGATGTAAACACACACACACACACACACACACAAACGTATGTGTACACGCACACACACAAACGATTGTGTAATTTTAATTTTTATTCCAATAGGGCATAAATATGAGCATACGCTTATTTGACACTTCATATAGTCAGTGTCAAAAGAAAAACAGGGAAAGAAATTGTGAAATTTACGATCAGCATTCACTTTTACTTTCATCAGTTTCTTGGATAATGTTTTATTTTGCTTCCTCCGTCTTTCATTTTGATCACTTTTACCCTCTCTTCCAGCGTCAGAGCTCTTCTTGTCTTAGCTGCTTGACATAAAAAGGTCAGTTTTGTAGCCATTTTAGCAATGCAACGTCCATCCTCGTCTGAATCTAACAATAACAAATACTTCCTGGCATGCAATGAAGTTTTACGCCAGCCACGGGGCGCTTCGTAGTCCTCGATGGCCATAGTTA